CTATCCCTCTACTCCTCCCTTCGGTGTATTTCTACAATCTATTAAGCTTGTCCTATTTTTACACTGGAATTAAAGAGCAACGGTATACAAGTGCAGTCGCGTTACTTTAAAATCTAGCACATACTATATATCCCCCCTCCCCCCTAAGACCCCACCTCCCTTCCCCCTGGAGGCAACTTCTGTTCCACTGATGGGCTTCGCTTTTAGGAAGTTTCTCCTTAGTTTCAGGTTGCTTCTTTCTTAGTTTCGCTCCATTATTTCTTGTCCTGCCTTCTGGTGCTTTGGAGAATAATTTGACCCCTTCTTCTTTGGGGCAGCCCTTCAAATACTGGAAGACTGCTATCATGTCCCCCATCGGTCCTTCTTTTCTCTAAACGGGCCCATCCCAAACCCTGCAAGCCTTTCTTTGTATGTTTTAGCCTCCAGGCCTTTCGTACTTGTAAGCCGCCCTGAGTCCCCCCCCCCCCCCCGGGATTGGGTGGCATATAAACCCATTAAATTGCTAATTGATTTATCTTAGTTGCTTTTCACTTTCTCCAAAGTCTCAGCATCTTTTTAGCGGTGTCTTTTTACCAAGTCTTGCTGGCTGGGGAATTCTGGGAATTGAAGTCCACCCGTCTTGGGAAAGTTGGCCACGTTTGCCAAACGCTGCCTTTCTTTGCAGGTGGAGTACCAGTTCCTCTCCCCATACGTCTCCCCCATGGATACGCCTTTCCGCCACATCCTCCTGGGCTCCGGATCCCACACCGCCCAGGCCCTGCTGGAACACGTCAGCCTGCTGAAGACCAACTCGAGCGCCTTCGACGAAGACCTCTTCAGGAACCAGCTGGCTCTCTTGACGTGGACCATCCAAGGAGCAGCCAACACCCTCTCGGGCGACGTTTGGGACATCAACAACGAACTCTGAAGCCCCTGATCCCCCCACCCCACCCTTCCAAAAGACCCACACACCCTCTTTCCCCCCTCCCCAACCCGTTGCCCAGTTACGCCTTTCCCTTTAGCTTTTCAGCAGAATTTTTAGAGGCCCCAGGAGTAGAGGAGGAAGGATTCAAATCTTGGGAGAGATTTTAGATGCGAATCGTTGTCCCTGCCCAATGTGTGCAGAGGAATTCTGATTTTCGAGTAAGCGAGCCCTGGCTGGACAGAAAGTCCATAAGCCCGATCACGTTCCAGTTGGCATTAAATTCCCGCAAAGCAAAAGGCTTTAATTGCTAGCCCTCGACGGCTTGTGGGGGAGGCGGGAACCGAGTTCCAGTCCTCCCGCACATTATTAAGAGCCTTTGCATCAGCCCTGGAACATGGAGCCTTCTGTCCGGTTCCCTTCCGGCCGCTTACTCGGGAAATGAGGTGAAGGGGATGGGTCCGGCGGGCACGATTTAGGAATTAGCAACGGGGGAGCCCTTTTCGGGGAGAGCCGGGTTCGTGTTTGTCTTCTTGCTTTGTGGCCTACTGGGAAAACACGAGTGAGTTTCCATCAGTTGCACTGGGCAGGAGGGCGAGTTCACCTGGGCTCTTGGCCCTGAGAGATATTTATTAGTTATTTATTTATCAGTGACAGTGTTCACTATAAATGCTATTTGTGTTCTACCGAATATAATTATCGGAAGCAGTGACTTCCATAATTATGACAGTTATACTGTCGTTTTTTTGATATAAGTAATAAAAAGCAGCATCTGCTAAACCGTGAGGAGGACTGGAGGTTTGGGGGACCCCAAAAGTTTTAGAACCGGGGAAGTGAATTTCCCTCCGCTGCGGCATTTTAAGAGCTCACCGGGGAGAAGGTCTTCAGTTGCTGCTTCTTCTGTTGTGGTGAGAGGGCAGAAAACACCCTGGCACCGTCCAGATGTGCTGGGCCGAGCCCCAGGATTTGAGCAGCTGTGCCCGCTTTAAATTCTGGTCGTGTTTGGAGGGTGGCCCCGTTTGACGGCCGACGTTGGCCTCGATCCCTCTGGGCCAGGGGTCTCCAACCTTGACCACTTTTAAGACTTGTGGGCTACAATTCCTAGAATTCCCCAGCCAGCCATATGCATTTCCTTTTCTCTTGACCTCCTAAAGTGGAGAGATCGCAGAGGAAGGGATTGCAAGAGAGTCATAAGCTCTGCTGACTGAGGAATTCTGGGAGTTGAAGTCCACCAGCCTTAAAAGTTACCAAGGTTGGAGACCCCTGCTCTGGATTGTTGCTTTGCTCGACACACTCAGGGGGGCCTGGTCCACATTCCCTAGATTTCTGCCTATCCAGAAGCGGCCAGCCACTGCAGACCCCCTCCCCGTGTGGGCTTCGACCTAGCCCCCCCCCCATGCCTTTGCCGGCAAGGGCTAAGCAGAAGGGAGCCGGCTACAGGCTTTCGTATCCATCTCTGAGCCACTGCCGAAGAGCCTCCAGTCCTGCAGAGTGACGGTGAATCCCATTATCGGGGGCAGGGTCTCCCATAATGTCCAAGAACAAGGTAGCTTTTGCCTACCAAGAGTGTTATATCGGAGGCAGTGACCTCCATATGTTGCACTAAAAGGGTGTCTTTATAATTATCGGGGACAGTGTTCCCCATAATTTTTTTTTATCTTAAATGCTCGTCGCCTGCAGAGCATCGTCGTTAGTATCTAACATGAATTATTTGGAACATGGTACAATTCTCTCTTTCTGTCTCGAGGGGGAGGGCGAGGGAAGCGTCCCTCGGTGCTGGCTGGGCGAGAACCTTTCGCGCGTGAGGTTTGTGCGTGCGCACGCATCCTTTCTCAACCAGGAATCCTGGCTTGTTCTCCAAACAGCGCGTGGCACGCAGGAGTGATGCCAGAGAAAAGCTGGAGCCACGCGTGTTACTTAAAAGGACATGGACTTTTCTCTAAATCTTTATCCGTGTCCTTTTCTTGTCCCCCCCCTCTCCTCTCTCTCTCGTTTGAAAAGCTTCGAATGATTTCCTGGGTGGGTGGATGTATGCGTGGGAATCGCTTGGGATAAGAGGAATCTTCTTGGGTAAGTCAGAAATCAGGCCAGGCCTGGAAAAGCCAGTTGACGGATGTTGTTGATATTGTGTTTTCCTTGCATCTCTATAGCCGAAAGATTTCTGGTCTTAAGGAACCCATAGGGAACCTTTTTAAAAGGCAGGGGTTGTGCAAACTTGGGGCACTTTTAAGACTTGTGGACTTCAACTCCCAGAATTCCCTAGCCAGCCATTCATGGCTGGCTAGGGAATTCTGGGAGTCGAAGTCCACAAGTCTTAAAAGTGCCCCAAGTTTGCACAACCCTTATTTTAAGCTGACTTTGAACCATAATCAACTCGCCCTGCCTTTCCAAAACGCCTCGCCGGCTTGCATTTTCTGCGTTGTTTGGCGCAGAGGGCCAAACAATTTTTTAAAAAAATGGAATTTGTACGTGGAAAACTTGACTTTTTGCGATGAAGAAAATCCCAGGCGCGCTTGGCTGTAAAAAATACCTTGCTTGAGCCGCAAAGAGGACGGTACCCCCGGTTTTTTTAGGCCATCTCCGGGTGTCGGTAATTCAGTTCAAATCCAAGGCGGTGTTGCACTTCAGACCTCTTTTCTTCGTTTGTGGCTTAGTTAAAACCTTTCCCCCTGCGACGTTTTCTTCCCCGTCTTCCATAAAAGCAAGAGGCACTTGTGTGTGTGTGTGTATATATTGTTTGCCTAGCACTGCATGCATCCCGGGTGAATTAAAAAGCAAATCAGATATAGTTGTGGAAAGAGAAAGAAAAAAAAATCACACGGGGGGCTCCCCCAGGCACCACGTGTCGTCGTTCACCCTGATAAAACTGCAACCTTTTCCTCTCTCTAGCGTTAAAAAGAGACCGCTCTCTCGATGCAATCACTGTTTGAAAAAATGCAAAACCTGAATTTTCTCCTTCATTAAAAGGAAAAAAAAACACAAGCCGAACAGCTTGGAAAATGTGATTATTGTGGGAAACCTGCGGTGGGTGTGGTTGGTGGGAGGGACAGTTGGTGGGTGAGGGGGTGGTATGTTGCATTTGAAAGAAAGGTAATCCTTGACTTACGACCAGAATTGAGTCCAACATGTATGTTGCTAAGCAAAACATTTGCGGTGTGAGTTTTATTCCATTTTATAGCAATAGCAGTTAGACTTATATACCGCTTCCTAGGGCTTTCAGCCCTCTCTAAGCNTTCCTGACAAGTGAAGATAATTAACCAGTGGAATGACTTGCCACCAGAAGTTCTGGTGGAGATTTTTAAGAATAAAAACTGGACTTGTCTCAAATTGTATAGGGTCTCCTGTTTGTGCAGGGGGTTGGACTACTAGATGACCTCCAAGGTCCCTTCCAGATCTATCCTGATTTAGGTACAGATGCTGAAAATTAGCGGCTTTACTACTCTCTGTTCTCCAGGGGTTGAAGCTGGCATCCAGTATCTGGAGCAACAGCATCAGATTCCGTTACTAAGTGCGACAGGACAGTTGGCTCAATGGAGTCAATTTTTCTTATTTAATTCTTAATTTTTAACGTATCGGTTACATTATATTGCACACTGGACAGAGCTCCTCTTTGAGGGACATTCAGAAAGATGAAATATGAAGATGCATATATATGCTAAATGTAATAAATACCATTAATAATATCTTAGTTGTATTATGTAGAATATGGCGATTGATATAACAACAATATATGGAAATATTGAATAACCAGATAACAAGCTGAATAAGCAATAATGGAAGATTCTTAATGTAATATACGTGTTGGCATTAATGTTAATTTATATGAGCTTGTTAAATGTTAACGAATCTGATTGATAATATTTTATTCATATTAAAAGTTATAATAATCAACATCGGGGAATTGGTATAAGAATAATATATTGGAATATGGAATAGCTAAACAATGAAAGATGGTCATTTAATATAAAGATGTGCGTTATTCCTAGTATTATATAAGCTTGTTAAATGAAACAAATATGATTAATATTATTATTTTTTTGCATGAAATGTGTGATACTCGGATACCGCACTGTTCACACACTGAGATGTTTGAAAAAAACTTTAAAAAAAAACACTTGAAAAAGAAGAAAAATGAAATATAAATAAATAAATAATAAAATAAATAGATAAATGGATAAAATAAATAAATAGATAGAAACATAAAGTGAACAATAGCAATAGCAATAGCAGTAGACTTATATACCGCTTCATAGGGCTTTCAGGCCTCTCTAAGCGGTTTACAGAGAGTCAGCATATTGCCC